TTAAGGAGGATAGGTTGTAATTTGGTACTAATGACAAAGTTACGAAAGCACAGCCACATGATTTATAACTTAGTTTATTGTATGTTTTCGTAGTAAATTAATAGATCGTTGTTTGTAAAAAAAACTGAAGAATATCTTCACTAGCTGTCTATTAAAAATAGCTTATCAAACAGAAAAAACTTTTGAACTGGACCGGGACACATTGTTCAAAAACTATTTTTGGGTGTCTGTGTGGCTTGTTTATGGACCAATTAAACTTTTGCTTTTTTATGTTATTTGTAACAAGATAAATTTGTACAAATATATTTACAAAAATTCGATTTTTAGTTTTCTGATTGATATGAAATTCACTCGACAGTGGCATCCCACTTTTTTGTAGGTAAAAGAATTTTTTTTGTTCATATTTATAACCAATAATAGCGAGGAAAAAGACGAGGAAGCGAGGAAAAAGGTGAGGAAAAGAGCGAGAACTACTAATGGTGAACACCATGTAACAGGTTCTCCTTGTGGTACCTTTTCAAATATTTTCAAATATTTCTTCTCTTATATATTCATCTATTCATTTCTTCAAAGGTTCTTGTAAATAATAAGCAACTGGTCTAGGTTTTTGAGCTACAGGTACTACTCCTGGTTTCATGTTATATTTAGCATATAAATCTTTATCATTTTTCAAATCTCTGATTCTTCCAATTCCTTCAAATATGTTTGTATGTCTGTTTACTATTTCTTTAATTGATGTTTCTTCGTTATCTGCAATATTGGTACTCTTCACCATACTCTCATGCATTCTCAAATCATTCATAGTTAAAAGTGAACCATCTGGTCTTATTTCTAACATACCTAGCTCCACCATTGTTTTCCTACTCAATAAAGGTAGTGACTTCATCTTCCCTTTAATAACAATTACTCTAGCTGGTACTCCTCTTGTTTTTCTTCTTATAATGGTATGAAATTCTCCTTTGATTTGCAGCTTATTCTGTAGTGTGCTTAATGATATGTTCGTTTTCTCCAACATAGGATTTATAGATGTTCTGTGAACTAGTGCTTTAAATTGGTATTCATCCATAATGTTGACATCTGCACCACTATCTAGATCCATCTTGAAATAAATTCCTTCCATTTCAACTTCTACAGACTTTTAGTGCTGTCATTCATCAATACCTTCTTTATTCTAAATTCATCTATGGTATTTGCTATAAATTCATCATCTGATAAGCTACTTTGCTTTTCTTTCTCTCTTGCCATTCTGATATGACCTCTATTTGATTTTCCATGCTGTTCTTTTCTATTCTGTCTGTTATCTTTAAATTCTGAAATTACTTTGTTTTCTATCTTTGTGTGAATTTCTATCATAATTTCTTGATCTTCTTACTTTACTTTCATTGGTACAAGCAGATGCAAAGTGATTCCATTTCTGACATTTAAAATATTGTGAACCATATGCTGGACAGTTTTCTCCTGCTTTGTGGTTACCAGTTAATCCACAATATTGACATCTTATTGAATCTTTTCTATAAAACCCTTCTCTGTTCACACTGGAAATTTTCTCATCATCCTTTTCTGTCTGTATCTTCATATCCTTTAACTGCATCAAAGATCTTCATTCTTACTAGCCTCTGTTAGATTTCGGGGAAGGGAGGGTTTGATTCTCCCAAATGTACAGGCCTAGGTTGGAGCAGACTCTTTATTTAGAAATAAGGATTAAGGGTCTTGATATTGGGTTTTCTTCTGTTCTTATTTTGATCTGAAATTAGAAAATATAACTAAGTATAGTATCTGTTATGTACTGATTGTTTTTAGTTTACTATGAACAATATTATCATGTAAGTTCTTTTTTTATGCAACTATCATTTTCTGCTTATAGACATGGGGGAATTTCTCTTGAAGGCTCTTATAGTGGGCATGAACTATCTTGCTTGCTCGATTGCTGGTTGTAATGAACGGAACAACAAAGGGTGCTATGCCTACATTATGATGAATATTTAGTCCTATAGGTCTTGCTGTATTCAATGTCTCAATCCAATGGACTTCCCTAGATTGACGGAATTTGGTAGTTTCATCTTCGGGCAAGTCAATTTCTATACGCTCAATTGGGATTATAGGGTGAGATCGTCTATTGAATGGTCGTTGAGGTTGAAATGATTAGAAACAGGCTTTTCTTTCTTTAATTTGATATCTGACCTATAACCATTAAAACGAGTTCGTAAATTATTCTTAGTTTCTCCTACATATTGTTTGGGGCATTTCTTGCATGAAATTAAATATATTACATTCGAATGTTCACATGTTAGATGTTCCTGGATCGGGTACTTTTTATTCCTAGAGTTGCTTACAAAATAATGAGTTTCTGATATAAAGGGACATCTGTGTTAAGGTGGAATTGTTTATGTTTCGTAAAAATCGTTTAGAGTACAGTAGTATATGAGCTTTTACATTTAAATGCAAATTTATGTTCAAAATATTATTGAATGTGTTTTATCAGAATGTAATACAATTTTTTTTCAAACACAAACTACGTATATATTTCATCAATTGGGTTTTCAACAATACTCCTCAAAAATCCGATGAATGAATTTCTTGATAAATATGGAAGTGATACAACCACAAACTTTCAACTTATGAGATGGGCGAATGAGTTAAATATATCACCGTTTTATTATTGTATGAGAGATGAAATAAATGATCTGAAATATAAGAAAGGTAAATTTTACGCGATAACAAATATACATACTTCCGATCAAAAAGGAGTTCATCATTCTGCTTATGGATTATTCTTATGGATTAGAACCCACTGAAGAGATAATGCAATTGACTAATAAACAATCAAATGTTCTTCCTTTCAAATTCAATTACCGGGACAAAAGTTTTGTGGTCAGCTTTCACTTTAGGTTATATATCAGTTAAGTTTAGGAAAACAATTCGAAGAAATTGTAATAAATTTAACTCAATAAAAATGGCGAAAAAGTTTGGATTAGGTTCTTTATCTTTAGAAACTAAAAAACCTAACATTACAGCGTGGATAAATAAAGCGAAACCTTACTTTGTGGATAAAATCGGAGACACTCTTCAAGGTGATTTAGATATGAACAATTTTTAGCATAACTAATTTAAAGTCTCCGGAAAACGATAATGACGCTGTTCACAAGAAATATTTACGGGAACAAATGAATTCAATTGAAGTAAATAAAAACCATTTAGAAGATAAAATAAGTAATGTGAAAAAATTTTGTTAATGATACTAAACTACAACAAGAGGTAAAAAGATTAATTCAATTCAAAAAGAATTGGTCAACGTAGCGAATAAAACTGAGTTACAAAATTTAATTTCATTAATATCTAAATTAGAGGATAAGATTGCAAAACAAAAATTAGACATTCAACAATTGATAGATAACATTCCAGATGAAAATGAAGATACGTTTCAACAGGAATTAAATGCTCTGGAAACTAAACTTAACAGTGAATTACAAAAAGAACTAACAAATACAAAACATAGATGATAGCGAAATCAAAACCTATATTCAACAACAAATAGAAAACATAGATGATAGCGAAATCAAAACCTATATTCATCAACAAATACAGAACATTGATGATAGTGTTATTCAACAACAGATAACCACTATTAATAACCTAGTTTTATAACAGGATAAAAATATAGTCGCATTAGAAAAAAGTTTCTCAAGAAAGAATCATATTATTTCAATCTTCCATTTAGAAATTTGGGTTTTAGTAGTGCTTCTATTACTAATAATATTGATAAATCAAAAGACTATGAATATAAAATATATGGTTTTACAGCAAATATTAGAGTATATTTTGTTCCAAATTATACTATTCATCCCAAAAATATTTTTGATGATGATGAGGATGATTATCGTCC